ACGACGCTCAGTTCGAACACCAGCATCAGCATCAACACGCTCGTGATCGTCCACATGAGGAAGAACTTGGTGCGCAGCAGGAACCTGAGGAAATTGTGGTGTAGATAGTAAACGAGGATCGGCGTCGCCAGGAAGACGACGGTCGTGCAGAGGACGGCCTGGGCGGCGATCACCGCCAGAATCGGCACCACCAGCAGCGGCAGCATCGCGTCCACGGAGATTTGTTTGGCACCCGCGCGCCAGCCGCACGGATTACGCAGCCTCTCCCAGACGGTCATACTTCGTCATCGACGGAACGGCCCTTCACACTGACATACGTACGCGAAAACCGACCCTTGCCTTGCGCACCGCGTCTCGACGTTTTCGTTTTCCTACCCGGCAGGACCGACAACATGGAGCAACGATCGGAAAGATCGCGGAACAGTAATAGATAACAGCACTACACTCATCGTTTTACTTCGTTTTCGAAAAAATACGTACTTTCATCACAGAACTCAAGCGCGTAATGTCTATAAAAATTCGTGACCCTGATTTAAAAAAACGCGACAAAGGTGCATTCGAAAATCTTAAGGTGCCTTTACATGGCAGCGTCAAGCGTCGAGCGTTAAGCGTCTGCGCAGAATATTGTTGCTCGACCGAATTCATATCACTCATCATGCTATTAGCCGCAAGAAGCTGGAATCTATCTCATTTAGATTCCTGCGCAATGATTTCTGCGCAGACGATCGATGCTCGATGCTGCCATGTAATGGCACCTTTACCTGTGGGATAAAGTAGAATTTAATCGACCAATCAGGACAAATAAATGTTTGCTCCTTTCGTCCTGATTGGTCAATTAAATGTACTATTTCCACGGATTGGATTTCCGAACGCATCCTAAAGTGTGAAGTGAAGTATTTTTGAATCTCGCGCAAGAGCTTGTGAGATCGGACGGTGGCGCTGTTTTTGGGAGCAACGATGAAGTTGGTGTTGTTCCGTGTGCTTGACAATTGTTGACAGTTGCGGTGGACCCCACTTGGCGCGAGTAATGTCGTATTAAACGAGGTACGTCGCGTGATCGATGACTGACAGATCGGTCACGATGCTCCCGTAGAATTTCTCGCACCGCTCCGATGGTTATTGCTCTAAAAATCATCGATCTCCGCCTGCATGAGAAGTCTGTTTCTTATTTACTTGCACGATGTTACACTTTCTATACTTGAAGTGAAATATTCGCGGGAATAAAGAATAATAAACTGCAAGAAAGTACAGAGAGAGAAAACACAATGGAAAAAAATATTGAGGATTGAATTTCACACATAGGCTTCTGTTCCTATTAATTGTATTTATACATTTTACATATTGTGAACGGGATATGCACACGTATATTCGTGTTTTAGAAGACAGCAGGAAAAAGAAACGAGGTTACTGAACTGAACAGGTTATTTCTTGATCTCTTAATTTTCTTGATTTCTTGATTTCTTGATTTCTTCATCATCTGTATGTAGCGAAAATCGCAAGGCAGAGGTATTCCAATTTTCTCAGCACATTTTTTTAACACTTGCTGCATATACTTTCTGTATGACAATTAATCTACAACACTAACACTTTGAAAATGTATAAACAGTAAAATCTAAGTAGAAAAAATTATAGCTTAAAGAAAGTGACCAAAAATATAAGATGTATTGATTTTAGTTGCACTTCTCGCATTCTTGTATTTCAAATGGAACTGGTACATGTCTGAGCTTTGCAATATGGAGGAATATGAAACAAAGTGAAAAAATATGAACAAACTCTGAAAGTTAAGACCAAGAAATGAAGATTCGACTGATTTCGCGCGAATGAGAAACGGATAGTGAGAATATGACACAAATTAAAAATACGCTCGACGCGGCATGGAGGGGGCAAATACACAAAAAAATAATACGAATAGTAAATGTGTTCTCTTAATTATCAACTTTGTGATGAGAATAACGAAGGTCAGTCGTTATCATCGTCAACGATTCGCTGTTTATCGGCGTCGTCGCGTGCTCGATTATGAAAAAAATTTGAATTTGATGCTATGCGCGAATACGTGAAAATTTTGATTGAAATCTTTATGTTTATTCGTGGAATAAACATAAAGATTTCGTGGAATAAACAATGGAAATGCGACAATCGATACATAAGATTAATTTTTCCACATCGAAAGATAGATAGATTTGAAAATTGAACGCACTAAAATTATATCCCGTTTAATTAAACCAAACAACTATATGTTGATATATATATATTTCTTACTATCTCCAGATTCTCATAAATCATTGAGAGGCGACAATAATTTTCCTTCTTCCAGAGAAACATCTTATCTCACCGGCCCGTTTTAATTTTATTTCAATTAAATGGACTTTTCACTAAAAAATTGCTTGTGTCTTTATTATCGCATTATTATCGCATTGTCGAGGGACGAGAGACTAATTAAAGCACGACTGAGCGTAGAATTCCATTAAGATAATCAGTCACCATAATAATCGGCCAACTGTGCGAGTTAAAGATTGATCGATGATCACGTCGCGCGGCTGTTGTGCACTGAACTGTGTTCTCAATTGTTCGCACATATTCGCGATTATCGCATTGTTTGCCGCGCCTAGGGGGATCGTTGAACATTGCAAGAGGAGAGGGTTGCATTTTTGTCTGCGTGCATCGTGTCTTAAAGATGCTAATATTATCTGTAGCTGTGGAAAAATATAATTCGTGATAATGAAGCCCCACAAGAACATATTCATAAATTTATTATATTCTGAATAACATACTGGAAGAGAGAAAAAGAGAGGGCATTGAGTTATATAATCTTAATTCGATTACTGCTTCCATTTCGATGATACAATAAAATTAGGAGGATATTTTTAATTCATCAAGATTAATGCCAATCACCATTGACGAATAATTGAATAATTGTGGAAAAGAGATTAATGATTAATTATCTTCAACTTTATCTATAATGTACAATAAATATTTGATAAATATTATATTCTTTTTTCTATAATCCATTTTTCTATTAACACTTTTTAGTATGACAGTTATTGTTCAGCGATTATCGAAATGTATCGCGATTAGCGAGCGTTATATATCGCGAATGATTACGTATATTACTACTGTCTTTCCGAGATCAATTGCCTGTTATCGCCTGTATCACACATATACCATATTTATATAGCAGTCTCATTATTTCTCAATAGGTTGGAGTGGGATCATCGCGCTGTGCAGTTCACAACTTTTTCGTCGTAGAGAAAAACCGATTGGAGACGCCGGAGGCTCGACTACGGATTTCCCCTTCCTGGTTGTGGATAGCAATAGTTAGTACGCGACGCCACCCCAAGCTGAGGAGATTCGAGTCGGAGACACAAAGTTGAAAAAGCAGGAAGAGTGTGCATTCGTTCGTCGACGCGCGCGGATAGATTGTGTTAGAACTGCACGCACTGACGAGTAACTTAACGCTGAGTTTAATCAAGTAAATTTCACTATTATATCTGTAATATAGCGATAATATAGCTTCGTAAAGTGTTCTTGAATAAATGATTCAAATTGTGTAAAAACAGATTTTTTTGCAATAGTTTTTAGTAGTTAAAGATAGTGAGTTTTTTCGGAAATTAATTTTTTTTTAGAAAAGCTAATAAATAACAAAATCATGAATGATAATCTCTTTTGGTTTTTTTCCTAATTACAAATTGGCTTTCACTTTTTTATCAAAGGATCATTAAGATTAGGTTTGATTCTTTTACACGTCTATTAATAAATAAAATTGTAAGCAAGAAGAGACTACAAATCGTTTATCCAGGCTTACTTCATCTTTTTTCTCTTACCGTATTTTTATTTGTGTACTCTGAAATATTTTTTTATAATCGTATTATTTGGAAAAACTTGCAGGTTTCTATTGTTAAACTATATTATGACAAAATATATCGCAATAAGATTGCGATTGTTACTCTTCAGTATCATCATATATAGCAGTTGCATTTTTTTACATATATGTATATCTAACAAAATGTTTAAGATTTATTTTTTTCACACTCGAACGAATATCGAATAGCAATTAAGGGGAACTTTGCCATTGTCTTAAAACAATGCGAAGATACTCGAATTATTTTTCTTGCAATTGTCTTCCATTTTCTATTTCAAAAAATATCAAAACAAGTCGAATCCTATTGATTGAAGAAACAACATATATGATGTTTGATCGTTGCGTCGAGCTGTTTAGCGCAGATTTGAATCGAGAAGAAAAATTTTTCAGAAAGCAGTGGTTTCGTCTTTTCAGATCATCATTTGATCGAATTTACGAACGGATTGTCACATGTTTTAAGAAGCGATAACGAACCAACATCGTCGGCACGAGAGCAAGTCGGCAGATAAGAACCTTCTGGTATTGGTAGACCAGGTCGTGTCTGGGTCGGGCTTGTAGTAATGACTTCTCATATAGCTCGTGTCGCTGCGGAATGGGTGGTGATAGCGATGGTGGTGGCGAGTTTCTTGGCAATGCTGGTAATAGTGACGATAGTGATGTTATTGAGGAGTCTATGAAACCGAAGTTACTGCTCTTTGTTGCTTTGTGAAAGTTCGATGAAGCTTTCGAGCTTCTCGTGGAAAGCTGCAAACTAGTGATTATAATTGCGAGGAATACGTGGGGATGTTATGTAAGCCATAGTCGTTCGACAAACACATTCGATATTTAGGATCAGAATTTGCAACGTGCTGCAATGTTGCGTCAAAGTCGCGATATTTTCTCTATCTATCAAAAGATAGATACGGTCAGATGGAATTGACTACGATATCAGTTTTGCATTTTTTCTTTGGTTGTGAGAATATTGATATACGGTCTTTCGCGTCTCTTAGTTTCCATAAAATGTTTGATTGTTTTTTATTTGTACACCATGTATTCACAATGTATATTCGTTGATGGTACATCGAAAATCTGCGATTTGTTAAAACAAGAGTTAATTGTCAGAGTCCGGACCCAGTTTTTAATTTTCAAATAACGTATGAAACGATGTATAGCAACCATGTCAACACGTGTCGTCTTACTAAGCATGATCGGTTTACTAGGAAATCTTGGTGTTTCAGATGATCAAATTACTTCGTCAAAGAATGCACTTCAAAATCAATATGAAAATACCTTGTGTGCGTGGTTAAGTTTCGATGAAGTGGCGATTTATGAGGAAGATGCGCGGTTGAAGACCGAAGATCCAGAAGAGGAGGACGAGAAGGAGCGTGACGAACGACGGGGTCCAGGGATGTCTACGGTGTCAACCAATAAATTGCAGATTTTATGGGATCACTTCATCCATGCTGAACCTCAGAGTTACGAGGTATTAGCATGATTTTTGAGATTAATGCTTTCTCTATTCCTCTTCATTGTGGTTTTTATTCCTTCCTCTCTCTTTATTTTTTTATAAAAAATTTTTATAAAATTTTTTCATTGTCATTTTAGTAAAACAAAATTCGACTTTATTTACAATAAATTTATTCTGAGGTGAATTTTCCTTTATGCGCATATCATTTTATGCGATATAACTGTATGTAGCGCAGTAATAAATTGCTATTTAAGTTCAACATTAACTGCAATTTGAAGCCTATTACTTTCCATTATAATTGGATTGTTTCCATAGACCGCTGCATTATAGTTTACGGACGGAACGGATGCCTTACAAGTTATCTGCACTTTGTCTGTCAATATTTCGTAGGGGGAAGTTGAGATAATATACATATATACTCTTATTATTGTCATTACCAATAAGAAATCATTTCATTGTTCAAAATTAATTTTGTGAATTTTTCATGCTTGGTTTAATGGAATTAATTATAAATTTCTTGATTTTTATTTTTAATAATAAGCATATATATTTTATTGTGAATGATTATTTTCATTGTAAATCGATAGTACATGCTCAATTGCACGATTATATGCGATAGTAAACAGTTTAGTTATCACACATATTAAAGGAACTTTTAGACAATCCTATTTTTGTTAACGAAGAATATTGAAAATTTATAGTGCTTTAGCTTCATATATCTAATGCCTCTTATTATAATAAATTGCATCATATATGCAAACCGTAAGCAGCAAGTGCGCTACAAGTATGTCATTTTGCAATGCTTAATCATAATGTTTTTCATGTTATATCCACCAATGTTGATTAGTGTATCGCATGCGAGCAAATTATCTTCAACTTTGGCAAGTAAAGAGCAAAATATCTCTGCTCCTTTTTATCTCGAGCATGGTTGCGTATCCATCGGCTTCCTCTTTATGATACGATATTTTAATGTAGTTTGTTTTTTCTTACAAGCGATATCACAAACGTTAATGAATTCGTATTTATGGATTACGTGTAATTAACGACAATACTAATTATATTTTTTAATTTTACACACATAAATGCTTCTACGAGTTATATACGCATGCTTTTTGTTAACGAACGATATCTGCTTGCTTCGATATATGTAGTCTTTGAAATATGTTGACAATGATTACGCTCATTAGCGATAATCTCAATGTGTTGTTTCAGAAATCATCTTGGCTTGATATATTTCTGGCGGAATTTCTCGCACAGATTAAGGAAGGCAAAGACGTAAAAGATGTTCTATCTTTCTGGTGAATATATCTCTCACATCATTTTACGTTATTAATCTACTTATTATTTTATGTACAAATTATAAAATCTCGTAAAGTTTATTGCGCGATACTTTCCTGAAAACATATCCGATTATACGCTTATTTTTATGACTTATCATCTTCACCTCAACCACAATATGAATATTCGATTACACCTTTGCGGTTGAGGCGAAAATTTTTTTTACTACAGCTAGTTTCATTGACGTTTTACTTAGCAGTTTATTCTAATATTCTCTTATCTTAATCAAATTTAAAATTATTTGAATACTTTAAATATTTGATCAAATTTAATAGTTAATTACAATATATACACGTGTATAACATAAAAAGCCATTACGCGTGAATGGCAGTATGAGTAGCACGTGAGTTGCTGGAAATAATAGATATACGTGAGCCATAATCATTGTATCTCATTGATAATTCGTATCAGATAACTCGCATACCTCCACTGTTGAGTAAGACTATAAAAAGATATGTATATCAAATATTTATATGCTTGTATTAATCTTAGTTCGGTTGGTGGCGGCGGCGTGTCAACTCTCGTGGCTTGCGAATTACTATCGGATGTGCATGAACTATGCGGGAAGAGAAACAATGGCAGCGAGCTGGTTAGTCTACGAAAGTATTTGGTCCAGGATCGTGGTTGGCGTTATCTGGCGGTGCTACATCTATTGGATGTACGCGGTTTGTCTTGCGGTCGCGAACTGGTCACGTTGTTGGTCGCTCTCTATCCAGTCGCGTTCCAAGAGGGGACTGCCTATTCGAAAGCTAACTTGTCCACCATATTGCAAAAGTCCGATGGCGAATCTATCGTCGTTGGATCGTCAACACGCAATCAATACGTGAAATTTCACTGTAACGATGATGTCGTCGACACGGTAGACATTGTTTTGCACGCGAAACGCAAGATTATTAAAGGTTTCTTTCACGAGAGCGATGCACCTTCGCGTGGGAAATCAGCTCGCAGACGATCCATCGCTGACGCTGCAAAATCTCGTAAATCCATCAATCACAACCAAATGAAATCGTCATCGACTCTAAAATCTCGACGCAACACACCCGAGAATGCGACGAGCAGCGAGTCTGAGCTATTGACGGACGGCATCGATCCAGCGCGTTCCCTCACTCTGAAGATCCGTCTGAATCCGATGGACTTCGAATACTTCACGTCGGTCGTCAGAAGCGATGAGGAGCAGAAATGGCAGGCCGAGTTATATGAGCTGCCACCTCGCCCTGTGAGAAAAATACCGCGTGATTATATCGATGAGAGAATCCAAGACGTATTGAATGCCGA